CAGGGAGATGGCTCAGTGGAATAAGCGCTTCCCTGGCAAGCGCAAGGACCTGAGTTCAATCCCCGGTTCCACCAAAAAAAAAAAAAAAAAAAAAAATCTGACCTAACAATGAAAGGTGCACATTAGAGTGCCACAGCAGTTTTAGATGAGGTGAAGTCTCTCCCAGATACACCTGATGTCTGATAAATCTGTCCACCTCCATCTGATAAATAAGCTCCAAAATTCAGCCTCATGGCTTTGACATCTAAGTCCCACTGTGACTGGAGCCATGTGACAAAGGAATAGAAAGGTCCATCGGACCACACTCACACAGACACCAACTGTTAGTGAAGGAGGACAAATAAGCTGAATTTCTTTGTGTCTAGATTATACGAAACAGTTTTGTGAATCCAGATAATTAATGCAGTCATGATAGAAGAATTATCATTTAAGTTTCATTCATTAGTCAGGATGTAAAGTTTGAAGGTGTTTAAGAGATGGCTTTCCTGCTGAGGTGATTTCTCCGATGTCTGCAGTGGCTGACACACAGGAGGCCTCAGACAAACCTTTGGGGAGCAGAGCTGAGCAGTGGCAACTGGGACAAAATAGAGAGGGTAAAAAAGGACTCAGCAAGAGTGGGCAAAAGGAAAATCTTGATAGTAAGTAACAAATTCCTTCTGCATTGCCTGAGCAGGCCTTAGCAAGCACGGCTGCTGGCCTAGTAGGTAAGTGAGATGGAACATTTTTGGGCACATATATTTCAAAGAAGTGAACTGCAAGATGATTGGTGTTTAAGATTGGTGTTCAATCATTTCCTCCCTATGGACACCGCTGAATTTCTAGAACAGACTCTCAGCAAATATTGTAATTATTTGAAAAAGAAAGAGAACAAAGCAGCAGAATAAAAGGGATGTCTTTTCTTACCTGTCTGCAGGGGCATCTCTGGTGAAAATAATTCTGGATTAAATATCAGAGGATTCAAGTGAAACATCTGTGAAGAAGAACATTTAAATCTTTCAATTATTACTTTCCCAACATTATGAAAAAAATGCAAAGTTACAACATTTAAAAATTCATCACAAGAGTGAAAACTAAAGACAAAAGCCAAGAGCCAGGCATGGCGGCACACACGCCTGTAATCCTAGCACTTGAAAGGCTGAAGCAGGAGGATTGATGTGAGTTTGAGGCCAGCCTGTATTACACAAGCAAGTTCAAGACCACCTTGCACTACATAGTCAGACCCTGTCTCAAAAAAAAAAAAAATCTGAAAATATCCTGTCAGGATTTTAAAGCTCCTTTAAGAAACCTAGTTGAGTTCTCAAATGCATGGTGCTCAGCTGACAAAGAGATTTGAATGGATCAACCCCACCCTCAAACCCCAAGGCCAGGACCTAGCTGGGTCTGGTCACCCACAAGGCCAACTGTGTACTGGTCACAGAGGAGAAAATTACTGTTTGTGGACTAAATGACGGCAGCTCATTCTCTTAGAAATGTAAAGAGACAATCCTAGAAAGCTGTTTCTTGGTGATGGCAAATATCTCTGATCTAGCCTGTTTCAAGGTTGGAAGAATTCTAGAAAGCAGCTCTGGAACAGTTCGCAGCATGACTGGAACACAGAGCCTAAGGAGTAGGGCCCGAACCCTGAGTAAATTTGTGTTTTTCATCTTTAATGCAAAAGGCATGAAGTTGCGTGGGAGGTCAGGCTGCACAATGCCCCCCAAAGGTGTGCATGATCTAGTCCTAAATCCCAGAAAGCTTCCTCAGACGTCAAAAGGGACTTGTGGCTGCTGAAAGGGTACTGAGGGAGGGGATGATCCTTGGTTACAGTGGGCTGGGACAGAGAGGCTCAGGAAGTTGAAGCTGTAGTAAGGAGTGAGTCATGGAAGCGGGAGGCAGGTGACAGGAGGTTCCCAAGGCAAGGCCCTCAGGAGGCCTCAGAGGACGGCCAACAGGAGGACGACTCCGTGCTTTCATTTGTGCCGGGACCACAGGAGAACAGACTTGTGCTGGCTTAGGTCACAAGTTTGTGGGAATCTCGTATAGCAATAATATGAAACCAACACAGAAAATCAAGGCAGCAGGCAACCTTTCTGGATGGAATTAAATGTTCTCACTTTTTTTTTTTTTTTTTTGAAGAACCGGGAATTGAACCCAGGTCCTTGCACTTGCCAGGCAAGTGCTTATTCTACTGAGCTATCTCCCCAGCCCCCAAATGTTCCCACTTTAAATGTTCCCTATTTCTGAGCTTCCTACTTCTTTCATTCATCAAAAGTCATCTCTTTGAAAAATTTGTGGACAGTGTTAGAAATGGGCCTTACTTCACCTTCTATGAAAGGCTGGCAAGTGGGCTGGACACAGTATTTAAGAATAAATATAAGTATTACAATTTGTCTCCTTACCCTAAATTATTAGATGCTCTTGGGCTCCTCAGAACCTCACATGACTAGTTAAGTCAAAAGTACGAAAACAGGTGTTTGGATCGAGAGCACTTCAGATTCACTTATAATACAAAATTTCAATTGCAGAACAACAACAAAAAATGTGTCCAGCTTCACTTCTTGTGGGTAAAAATCACCCGTAAATTCATTGTTTGCTGGGAAGGAAATACAGGAAGCAAAGAGGAGTTCTGCAAAGCTCAGCTCCCACCCCAGGGCTCCCTTCCTGCAGGTGGCTGAAATGATGGGGTCAAAAATGCCGGGAAGACAGACCCTGTGCTATGTGGCAGTGGTGACGCCGTTGACCAGATCGGCTGGACAGAGAGCCCCAGCTCTCAGCAGCACGCAGACTGAGTCTCCCCAGGGAACACAGGTGAACTTCAGGAAACCACCGCTCAGGCGTCTCCCCGCAAACACCAGAACACACCCTGCCACTGTCGCTGATGAGCATGAAGCTGTCCACATGAGACACTTTCAGAATGACATTTCAGCAGCTTTTACTCTTGCATCGCACAGGGCCATCTCTTGATAACGTTTCCTGTGTGCAGACAGGAAAGCACGGCTTAACCAAGCAGAGGCTGCCCTCACCCTGTGTAGTTTGTCTTTAATTGTTAGAAATATTAAAAGTGAAAGGTAAAGCACAGGGTTTGATAACATGAGTAGCCAAAATGTCTTTCATGGTGCCACCAAAGGAAGTGTTCCTAGATTTATCTGATATCACCATTTTTACAATAAAATTGGAAAGGAGCATCTTCATGTGAAAAACAATGCATATTTTTGTGCTTCCCGGGCAGCTGTCTATGGCGCTGAGCTATCTCCCTGGCCTCCCTTAAAAGCATTTTATTTTGGGTTTTATTTTCTGGCCTGGTTCTTGGAATGTACAAATTGGAAAATGCACTGTTTTAGGAATGTTGCACCAAAGTTTAAATGTGACACGATATGGAATCTCAGACCAGGTTGTCCTGGAGCCTGGTGTTCCTTCTCCTTGTAAAGCTTAGCCAGTGACATCCTTCCAAGCTCAGTGCACACAGACTCCTTTGTGACACCTTCCCTAATTCTTGCTTCTCTGTCCCACAGCTCCTGGGGACTCCTCTCCGCATGCTGCAGAGCTGATGGCCCCGCAGACCTATAGCTCTGTCCCTAGTGTGGGAACAGCAGCCCCTGGAAGTCAGAGTCTAATTTCTCCTCTATATCCCTACTTATTTTTATATATCATTGCAACATTATTGTTCTGCTTTCAATAAATATCTAAGGGATGAGTATCAGTGCTTTAAATACTTCTTAAGAAAATTGCTTTCCAGTGGTGATTATATAATATAATATATATATATATATATATATGCTATAGCACACACACACACACAGGGTAGACAGGAGAAGACAGTAGCAAAATGCTAATGATCAGCATAGATTTTGGGCTATACTACACTTTTGTCAGTGTGGAATTTTTTTGAACTAAAAGGGTTGGATACAATTACCCTTTCCTGGGCTGGCCTGATAGCTCAGCGGACTAAAGTGCCTGCTTAGGCAGAGGGCAGTGGCAGGGGTTTGATCCCCGGCATGCCGTTCCAGCCCTGGGTGTGCTGAGACAGTGATTGAGACCGGGTGTGGTGTCACACACCTGTAATCCCAGCACTGGGGAGGCTGAAAACAGGAGAATCACTGTGGGTCTGATCTATATAGTGAGATTCTGTGGACCCTGTCCTAAATACAGAAAATAGATAAACAAATAAAACAGTTACCCTTTCCCTTATATGGCTAAATATATGGATAACAGTTTTTGCTTTCAGAGTACACCCTTTCCCAGCACAGTCTTTGGTCCCCTGTACAGGTGGGGTTGGCCTTTCTGGCTGTCAAAGGAGAACACAGAGTATGAGGAGGTACAGACAGCCTATCAATTACCAGCAGTGACATTCATACAATCATCTCCAAATTCTAAGTCCAAAGGTCTTTTCTCTACACTCATCTGGCTCCTCATTAGAAGAGAGTTAAGTGAATATTTTGTGGTACTGTGTCCCCCTTAAAAGAGACCTAGTTAAGTCCTAAGCCCTGGTAGCCATGCAGGTGCCTTGTTTAGAAACTTGGTCTTGGTGGAGCAGCAGGGAAGACAGAGCCATGTGAGATGCTCAAAAGAGGAGTTGGAGGTGCAGGGACATGGTAGTGACAGAGGACACAGGGCACAGAGCCAGGGACTGAAGAGCTGCTGCTTCAGGCCAGCGTGCTAGGGTGCAGCAGTCATGCACAGACACATAGGGGATGGACACAATTCTCCTGGAGACTGCCTGGCAGCACCCTCACCATGACTTCTGGCCTCCAGAGCTGGAAGAGAACACATGGCTGCTATCTGAAGCCACCTGACTTGTACGGATAGGTTTCAGCCATCCTAGGACACCAGCATGGTGGCTGGGGTCTGGTCTGTCACACATACAATGATTATGCAAAACACTAGGGTGAGTTACCCACTTTGTATGGAATGTCCACACCAATGCTATCTGGAGGAACCAGGAAACTGAGATTAAAAATATTTTTAAAAACTACGTTTAGAGTTTTCCTGACATTGGAAGACTAGTGTTGCCTTTGTCTATTTTGAAACATAAATATATGGAAATAAGATTGCCTGTGAGATGGTGGTGAAACACTTACTTGTTCATGCCCTCCCAGATACGAATCGTCCTCCGTCATCCTGGAGCTGTGTATCGAAACAAAACAAAACAAAACTGAAATGCAGGAACCAGCTTCAGAAAGTCCATCACTGGGGACCTCACACAGGGACCAAGCGCACCACGTGGTCAGCTCTCACGGCATTCTCTGTGTGGCCCTCACAAGGGGGCGTGGGCAGTTCCTGTGTGGTTTCTAAATGTGACATAAGGACATTGCACAAGTGGGGAACTGCCATTTACACAGGACCCGAGCCCCATGCTGCTCTCACAGTATGAGTTTTGTACAACTGCTCCTATTCTCTGTATTAAAATTATGCACACTTGGTTTCTTTTTGGCATGCTTAAATTTTACACATTCAGCTGTAGGCTCTGCTGATGCTATTTCTCCATGCTGTGACAGTCCCAGAACTGTCCCCAAATGCTCTGGAGTGCTGTACCCAGCTTGGGGATGGGGCAGTGCTGTCTTCTCCCAAGGTCCTGCCACCATCAACTCTGCCCTCCCAAGACTGCCATAGAAACACAAAGTGAGGAACCGTTACAGCAAGGCTGTGGGGCTCAGAAATGAACCCACCACTGGGCTCAGCTGCAAAGGTGAAGGCCCACGTGGCAGTGAGGTGCAGTGTCTCTAGGTCCGGGAATATTCAGCATTTGCTTGCCTAAGAAATACCCTGTTCATGACGTTAGGAAATTAGTTTTATTTTAATTCACAAAGATCAAATTTTTGGTGTGAAACTTGAAAAGTGAGAATTTGCTTTTTAAAAGATGAAAAGAACAAATACAAATCCCTGAAGGAAATTCATGTATTTTTTCAAGAAGTCTGTGACACTCTGAAGGGCGTGTGGGGCCGAAGCTGGGCACATGTGTGGCTCCCACCTCCCAAGAGTGCAGATGCTGCCAGACTAAGTACTTGGGGGTATCCTCTGGGCTGCTCTCCTCTTCCCCTGGGATGAAACCCCATGTGCTGAAGCCCTGGCTCCGGCACAGAGGGGATGGTGAGTGCCCTGGGCATGGCAGACAGCGCCCGAGCCACACGGTATGACAGAGCAGCTCTGACAGGCAGTGACTTGCACTGGGGGTGATGTGGGTCAGGGCTAGCCCAGTGCCAAGACCCAGACCTGATTCTGGGGAACCCACTTTCCCCAGAGCCCTGTACCCCTCCCATGGAGTCCCAGGGGGAGGGGAACATTGTGTGATCCCAACAACTTCGCCTTGGCAGCTGAGTCCCATATAACACGGTTTGTGCACCTACACAGGAAGTATGTGCCTAAGACAGGAAACTAGAGACTGAAAAATATTCAGGTTCCGAACTTAAACATAGGTCTATTATGATAAACTATTAAGAAAAGGGAAAACTGACCAGACACAGTGAACAGGAAGGGTTATTTGAAATCCAGGCACTCTGCCCCTTCAAGGCATGTGGTCTTAGACCCACGGTGGTCCTGGCTCCTCCTTGAGGGGAGAGCGCTGGATAGAATGGGCTTATGGAAAAGGCAGAGCACTGCTGAGCTTGGATTCTGTGTTAGCTAGAAAATACCTACTAGAAGAACATGTCTTCTAAATGTCATGTGAGTCTTTGGTAAACTTGGTTCTTTTGGGAGGGGCACTAAGGACTGAGATTGGTGTCTACACTGAGCTACATCTGAATGCCCTTTTCATTTTGAGACAAATTTTCATGCATACGCTGGGCTCGAACTCTTGATCCTCCTGCCTTAGCCTCCCAGAGGGCTGGGATTAGAGGCATGAACCATCACAGGTGTTTAACCCTGGACTTCTATCCATCATTGATAAGTGTGTGTGCGTGTGCATGAAACAATTTTATATCTATTATAAATGTACACATATTAGCATAACTTCCAGTTATATAAACACTAGTAAAATAGTTGCATCAATCTACAATGTTAATATCAGCCACAACAAACTCTGAAAATACCAAAACCTTCGAATACCATTGCAGCCCAAATTTCCATGAAAATTTTAAAACTATTTTTTTGGCTTTAGACTTCGCATTAATTGGGATGATCTTTCAAGTACCCCAGCAGTCTTGGCCCACAATCTTCCCGGCTGAGAGGAGATGCCAGCTTACGGAACAGATGGACCCCACTTGTTCATGCAGCCGTGTGAGGCTGACTGTGTACAAACTGAATTTTGAACAGCTTTACAGACCCTCAGGCGCACAGACTTAGCAGAAAGCGGCTCTTACTCTAGCAATTGGACTAGGGCTGGGGTGTGTAGCTCAGTGGTACGATCCTTATCTGCAATGAAGCCTTGGGTTTAATCCCTAATGCTGCCAAAAAGTAAAACTTAAACTGAAAAACTCAACACAACCTACTTTATTAGGACTGTGCTAAACAAAAGAATTAAACAGTCTTCCCTCCACTAACCTCCCCTAGGAGCCCCAACCCAGGGGATGACTGAACAGCACAACTAAGAAGGCCAAGAGGCAGCTGAGGAACTCGTAGTGACCACTTCAAGCTCCGCTTGAATAGCCCGGGCAAAGCTGTAGGGGAGAGCAGCCCGGGGGTGACGTCGACATCAACTCGTAACTTAAAAATAAAATGTCAAACAAACTAAGAATCACTTGGAAAGGATGAATCACCAAGGAATATTTGCATCAGTCATAGAAGTAGGTTTTATTTGTCAGATGTTGAAACACAACTAAGGCTCCCAGCATGGCTTACGAAGGCCCAGGGAAAGCCCCTTTTGCGCCCCTGCTTGCCTCCTCCCTTCCTCTGGCCAGCTGTGCTCTTGAGGAAGGACCCCGAAACAGAAAGGGAGACCCAAGCCAGCAGCCCCGCTCTCCAGCGTGTGAGGAGGGAGATTTTTCTCTCCATAGAAAGAGAAACAGAAAATGGAGTTGCCTGTTGAGAAAAGTCCCCGTGAATGGTGCTTTTCTCTAGAAAAGCAACATGTCCAGCCTGGTTCTGCCTCACCCTGCATGTGTGATGAGCTCCCTGGAAGCCCAATGGTCACTTCCCATGTGTGTGGGACTGTCCCACCCACACCATGTCTGGCCTGTGGGCTCCTTGGCTGCCAGGCTGCATGTGCTGGCGTGTGCTTCACAGCCCCAGGGCCATGCCATGGGGGTGAGGCTGGGCGACGCCTGTCACTTCCAGGGCCACTGTGTGGGCCCAGAGGATCTACAGCTTCCTCCCAACACCCACTGGGAGCAGTAGATGCTGTTCTCTTAGATGTCATTACAAACGCTTTTAAAGCCTGCTTAAATGAGTCCATGACCACTAAGGACCAAACTTGCAGTGTAAAAAGCACAATGTTAGGTAGGAAGAGTTGGGAACCAAAGAAGTGTCTCTAGTTTCCACATTTTAATACCTCATCTTAGATCACAGTAAAGGTGAAACTACAAAAAGGTGACTTCACCGTTTCTATGTTGGATAACAAATTGATGGTGAAGAATATGCCGAAGCCTCTTTCTGAGGAAGAATTTTTTTAAATTCTTCTTTTTTTAAGTATGCATTTGGTGCAGGGTCTCACTATGCAGCTCGGACTCATAGTGATTCTCCTGTTTTCAGACTCCCCAGCGCTGGGATTACAGGCGTGCACCACCACTCCTGGACTTGGTCACAGGCTCAGCATGCCCGGGGTGGGGCTGGCCAGCGTGGCAGGTGGTACCAGGCATCAAGCCCTAGTCCCTGTGCTTGCCTAAGCAAGTGCTTATTCCCACTGAACTATCTTGCTGGCCCTTGAGGAATTTTTTGAAGGAAACATAAAAGCAGGTCTGTGCACATGGGCACTGAGCAGGCATATAGTTGGACAGTAGTGGGCCCAAGGGACAGAAGGGGTGGGTCCAAGGCAGCATTGCTGCAGGTAAGACAAGGAGGCACTGATGGGTAACACAGTTATAACAACCTCCTAGGTCTCAGACCTGAGGCAATCCCAGTGAGCACATGGATACCCTAAGGCCACACACTGTACACAGCCCTTCTGACACGTGGCCACCTGGCTGTCAAACTCCTGACAGGCCCACAACATTCCTGGCTGCCACTGCCCACAGCCCAAGGGCACCATGCAAGGACCCTCTTGCTTTGGGCAGGCTGGGTTTAAATAGAGAACCTGTCTCACTTGAATCTCTTCTGTGCACTCCTTAGACGACGAAATCCCCCAGGGAATCACTGACTATCTAAAAGCACAGAGGACATTGTGCAATTTCTAAGTAACTTCTAAGCCAAACATTGATAAGCTTCCTAATGGCTGAGTCCTTGGGCCCCCCGAATAACTCCTGGGATAGGCATGGAAACTCACACTCACCTTCTCCCTGGAAGGCGGAACCCTCTCCGTATCCACTTTACAGGGAATTCTACCTGAACTTTTGTATGTCCTGTCCTGACTGAATTCTTTATAGGGGCACAGAGAACTGAGGTCCCCTCCCAGTGACGGGACTCAGCTTCCCAGTGACACACTACTTAGAACGCAAAACAGTCAAAGGAAAATCACTCTCATTTCTGCAGTTCCACTCTCAGGAATCCACATTAAACAACTGCTTGGGCAAGTGTGGAAAAAATAAAGATATTCACTGCAGCAAAAACAAAACAATCTTAATGTCTTTTGATACCAGATTGCTAAATTGGAATGATCTTATATCTATAAGTTAAATATTACAACACTGTTAACAATTTCAGATATATGTATCTATACAGTAGCATGGAAACTTTGAAGCTGTATACTTGGGTATTTTAATTCTCTAACTAAATCATGTAAGTGGAAATATATCTTCACTAAGAAAAAAGTGGAAAATTGAACCTGTCTACACTTGAAAACTTAACTCTGACATTTTAACAACTGATGATGTAAGTGAATGAGATATGAATGAGCCAAAATACTTACTACACACTTCCAGAATTCTCATTCATAAGAACTATAACAGGACCACACTTTCAAAGGGCTGCTTATTTACATCTTCCTGACAATATACTGGGCTAGAGATGACGGAAGAAAGCTGACAGTATAAAAGATTTAATTGCTCTTTCTAGAAGAGTTGATTTCTGAAAAGACTTGAAAAGGAGTTGGTATTTAT